ATCTCTTAAAAAAGTATTATTCTTTTTTTTTGTTTCCTTTGACGATTAAAATTAATCACGAAAGTTTTGTCAACGTCATTATTATTATGCCATTTATTCAAACATCTCGACAAGTATAAACAATTTGAATCATTTCAGACAGATTTTCATAATGTGACATACGACAAATGAACATCATACCTACGTGTTTTTATAGGGGTCCAATATTAAAAACACTAAATTGTAAATAGCATTCGAAAACAATTATTATCCTTGTACATTTGTTTTTATTAACAAATAAATAATACTTGTTAATAATTGAAATGTAAAAAAATATCTTATTCATTCATGTGTCAAGTTAAAAAGGTCTGTTTTTGTGTTCACTATTAAAAACGCAGTTCAAGCTAGGTTAGTGAGCAAATACGGTAGGTCAAGATTGACTTTCGATGAACCTTTGTAGGTCAACGGTCAGAAGTGGTTCTAAAAGGGGTTTAACTAATGATTTGAATTGTTTTCTTCAGCGCAAATATGCAAAAAAATTTTAATCGGAAATTCTACTAATTTTTCCCTATGTTCCCTTAAAATTAATGACATTATCACTGAATCACCTTGTATATACAGTAGCAGTGTTATTTTGAACTTCTCTATACGCTTTCAAAAGATAACTGCTCCTTCTACAGGTTTTTTATATTTTTTGTCATTTACTCTCACCTATTCCATATTTTTACACTCTACACTCTCACTTTTCCAATGACAGCATTTTTTGAAAGTGAAATGTGATCCTTTAATACAATTAGAACGTATCTTTAACTGACAGAAGTGAGATAGAATAATTTGTGAACTCGTCTAAATGATAGATTAGTAATAATAGCTATTGTATAAGCTCGCTTTGTAATCCTATACGCGTGTATTTTTAATTGGATTCTGTTTAGCAGATCATTTGAGGAACTGGATTTCAGTTATTTATAGTTGTGTATTCAGTCTGGACCCAGTCTCATCATCTCTAAAAAGCAAGTCGGTGTACTTTCACTTGCATAATTAATAGTGCCACTATATCATCGAATGGTTTAACGGTATTTTATACAACTCTTGGAAATATACGGTGTCCCAAAATTAACAAGCATGGTTAAGTGTATGTAGAATAATAATATTAAAAAAGTTACTCCAAAGAAGTAACGATAAGTTGGCAATTTACAAATAAGTGTCAGTTTATTACATAAACTATCATCTCTTTGAAAATAAAAGTTTAGATCTTTCTTTAATTGTTTCTAAAATTCCGGGAACAATGAGGTGTAAGTTTTACCATTACCATAAAAATAAGCTCTATTTAGTGCAAAAAGAGCAAATTCCCGAGCGGCTTTTTCCTGACCCTGGGGCAATTTATTTATAACGCTATTTTGCATGCCTTACTTTGTTAGTTGTAAAGAGCAACTTAGTTAGTTTCAACTTTTTCAAGCATCTTAAACTGTTGTATAGTGGCTAAACTTTGTTTTCTCTCTTTCTGTACTAGGACATCTTGCTCCGTTTGAGAGTAAAATTAATTTAAAAAATCTATTCTATATTGTAATTGATGGTAAGTCGCGAAACCTAGAATTATCACCTATTTAGAACTTTTGCGTTTAATTGACATATATTTTTTAAATGTATCTATAACCCTGCATAATCAAGTTATGAGAATATTCTCATAATTATTCTCTTGGAGGTTGTTAATTCATAATTAATTTAAAGATTGGCGCGAAAAACGGATGTTTGTTGTCCTGCTGATTCGTGACGTCATTTAGTGCGATCGAGAAAATGAATGACAGGATTGTAAGTAAATTGCGGTCTAGACAGCAGACGGCCTAGAAGCATAAGCATAAATGTTTAATTCAAAAGTCATAAATAAACTTCTTCTGTTTATAGCTTTTGATCTAATCAATATTTTTTTACGCTCGCGGGCTAGTTTTGTAGATCTTTTGAAGACGAAATAAAGTACTTTACTGTTTTTTTGTGAAAAGTTATAAGCGAAAAACGTGAATTTACGTAAAAATTATACAATTAACCACCCTGTAAACAATCTTCCCCCCATTTTTATGACTGTGGAAACTAATATGTTATTGTACATAACATTTAGCATCTATAGTGATAAATTCAGCTTTCCGAAACGAAAAGTCGCGAAATGGTCATTTCCCAGCTTAATTTCCTGGCCTATTAGGATCATCTGCAACTGACCCGACTGCTAATAGTAATAATACGTAGCTATGTAGAGTAAAAGTCAAAATTTAAATTTTGATTTTAAAATTTATACTTATTAGGACATTTAAGGTTATAAACAGATTTGTTTTATAAAAATGTCGTGCATAATAATAAATAATGGTACTTCTCTCTTGAGTATTTTCGTATTATTTTAATTTATGAGCACTCTGTATATCTAAGATGTTTGTATGACAATCTCATTTTTTCGAGAGGCAGAACTTTTTATAAAGAGTGACATTTTTCGATAAAGTCAAAAACAAAAGAATTTCTCCTCTTGCCAACTCCATCCGTGGAAACACTGTATAAAAAAAAACGAATTATTTTTATCGGAGAATATCATTTTACAATCTTTTCAGGACATCTCGTAGTTTGTTTGGCTATAACCGAAATCGCTAAAAATTGTTATGTAAATGAGCCTATTTTCCATATTGTATGAAGTCGTAGGAGTATACGAAAAAAGTGAATTATTTTTCAACCTATCAAGAGTCTAAACGAAATATAAACAATGACGTGAGTGTACAAAATGTGCCACTATGTCATTGAGACGTAGGTGTGATGCAGCGAAGGTGATGCTGCGCTGTACATAATCAGTAGCAGTTTTATTCCAACCTACTGTTTTGTGTAACAGAACAATAGGCATTTAATTTCAGATTCAGAATACGATAACAGAAGACATAAACATGGCAATGACTAAAGTGATTCGATTATTTGTTTTAACGGGCAGAGAAAACATCTATAGTAGCGCAGTGTTAATGAACAGCGTACACAGAACCTACAGGGTGTCCTAGAATTTCGTGTATATAGGATCAAAGAAAGATAATTTAACTAAACTTCACATTTTCCAGAGTAAAATATCTTATCTAATTTGATATGCTAATACGGATCGTTTCTGATATAGTGACAGCAGTATTTAATTTTCACAAATGGAAAAATGCGCTCATTATTTGTGGATAGCATTACAATACTTTTTACACAAAGATAAGGGCTTTTTCCAAGTTGCTTTTCTCTTGTAAATTTTTTGTGACGGTTTTCTATATAATTCGTTAATTTTATTAATCTCACCAAAGCATTTTCGGTACAATGTTCTTTATCGCCAAACATTTTATTTATTTGATAATAAAAGCAACTTTGTGGAGTTCAGTAGGTCATAATCAAAAAAGATATATGAGTTACACTCATTTTAGACCCTCCTAATGTGCAAATTACGGACAGCAGTTTATTATGGAATTAAATTTAATTGAATGCTTCTCAAATAAAAATTTACAGAATTAAAAAATATGTGGTGAATGAGGTAATTTTTTTATAGTGAATTATGTGTTACTGAAAATAGTTATCTTTTACAATAATTTTTGTGAAATAACATTCTATAAAGTTTCTGAACTCCACAGGGCATTGTTTCAATTTCATTATCACATAAATTACATTTTTAGTAACAATTAAATCCGATTTCCACTAAAAATTACTGTATATACCGAAAATACCGTAAAAACCTTTAAAAATACAATCAATTTACAAAGAAGAAGAAAATTTAAGAATGCGCTAACATTTATGATAAATATTTTTACCCAACATCTGGGGTGCCACAGGGATACAACTTAAGGCCATTGTCGTGTTTGTTGTCTGCTGCTACTGGTTCCTTTATCCACGATAAAAAAAATAGAGACTTGGTCTACAGTAAATAAATAAATTAGAATTAAATAATTAAAATTAATTATTTAATCAATTAAAGTAATCAAATTTGAATATAAAATTAATAATTTGGCACCGACACGAAATGACACTGTAAATGATTTAGGTATAATTTTTGGTACTAAGTAATAATAATAGTCAATTTAATGCTAGTAAAAGTACAATAAATATCATATATACATATATTGTTGTATATTAAACGAAGTTATAAAAATTGCCTAATAGCAGTTTTTAAGAACAATCAACCATTATTGCCTATATATTATTTCTGTATCAAAATTATAATACTGATGCTTGTATTAGCATATTTAATTTTTTAAATTTGTGCACATTTTATGAGTTGTAGCTTTCTCCAAAAAAAAAAGAGGATTTAATTATCGATTCATTTTGAAAACATTAATTTACATTATTACAAATGAAAGTACCGAATGTTTCGTACAAAAAGCCTTATTTTTGGTCTAATTTAAAAAATATAAATAAAATATTAGCGCTAAATAATTAGAAATACAAACTGGAATTAGTGCTAGTATTTAGTTTACTAGAAAAAAATATATCATATAAAAATGTGTAAAACTTTTTTATTAACTAAAGTGTTGATACTAATATCTAGAATTTCCTCTGTGATATATATTGTACACATTTAAAGTAAAAACGTGATATTGTCATTAAAAATAGTTATATTTTTTGTACACATTATCACTTAATTTGTTCTGCAGTTGTATTCAAGTAATCTGTAGGGCAATAAAAAAAAAGAATGAGAGAACTAAAGTTGAAATATAAGCATAATTGATTAATGATGGGGTATTTTGCCCGCTTCAGTTAATGCAATTTGTCAAAAAGTGTCATCTACACACAAGTATATTGCAAATCTGATTTAAATCGAACATAGTTTTAGAGTTACTCGAAAAAAAAAAACTAACATTTTTTGCCAACTTTGACGCCCTTTGTCACCTATACGAAGCAACCCTGGATGCATATAATTTTAGTTAAACGTAAATCTGTTATAGATACACATAATATTAGGGCACCCTGTACATCTGCTGACGTAAGAGGTGTAGGTGGTGTCGTGTCATGTAAAATTTCATAATACCACTTACCTCGTTCCTAACTTGCTGCAATTCTTCGGTGGCATTGAAAACCCCGTTGACGCAGAGGCGTTTGGCGACGCACAAGTAACCTTGTCCTGTGCATTGTACTCCTCTGCCGTCGCTTCCCAAAACGAAGGACTGGGGGCCGTTTGGATGAGACGTAGCGAAGGGCTTCTTGTTTGTTAATGGGTGACTAGTGGCGAAACCTGGTTTCTTTGGTTGTACGCCGATGAAGCCGTTCTCGTCTTTCACTTTATCACCATTACCTTAAAAAAGAAGCACAAAGGTCACGATGGGGCTCGATTTTTGAAGGAACATAGTAAAAAATGAAATATAGCGAATTCGATGTAGTAAAATATCGTACTTATGGGGTAATCGACACTACCAAGAATTCGGAAGTACTTTGAACTGAATTGAAATGGCTTTTGGAGTTTTAAAATTGACGATACCCTTTTCAACACTTATTTTTTAATTCGGGTAACAATATTTTCCGGAATTGAAGATATAGGTTTACGATTCACTTAGTGCAATAGTTTTGTTTGATTCGAGGATTCTTTTCAAAAAGGGTCCTTGATATAAAACCTCTTCTAACTGCTTATGGAGAACACTCATAACTGTGGATAAATATGAAACATGTCCGTGTTTTAGTGCAGAATTTAACAGCATTGGAAAAAACGAATGCGAGGAAAATGTTTCCTGGGCCTTTTTAACATACAGTTACTGTTCTGGTAACAATATTTTCCCCAAATGAAAATTTTGACTTAGGATTCAGTAAATGCAATAATTCTGCTTGATTTATGGATGATATATTACAAAATAGATCTTTGGCATAAACCCAAAAACAGAAGGTTGTTCTACTTTCAATCACTTTTGGACAAAACGCTTCATACCCTCAAGAGTGTGAGTAAATACGTATTACTCTGAGTGTTTTACTTCTAGTAACAATACTTTTCGCAAATGAATATATTATGGTCTAAGAATTAACCTTTGCAGTAAATCTGGTTGATTTAAGAATGATTCTTTATAGATCACTGACCTAAAACACAGAAACAGTCATTGTCTTACTTTCAACTACTTTTGAGCAAAAGTTGAGTGAATAAATCCGAACTATCCTCAGTGTTGGTGTGAAATTTAAGTCATCTTTTTACGATGTTCTGTTATATCCTGAAATTTTAAAAATAGAGCTAAAAGGGAATGTGTTTTCTGTTATGGGATATTTTTAATATTCCGTTATTCTCCTGGCAATAGCATTTTCCTCAAAGATTTTAAAGACTTAGGATTTACGTAATCTAATAGCTCTGCATGATTTAATGAGGCTCTTTTACAAAATAGATCCTTGGCATAAGACTTCAAGTAGAAATTGCTTTTACTTTGGGCAAAATGTTTGTGTTTTTAGTGTGAAATTCGACATAATTTTTTTTCTGTATGTAGGTACTGCTTTCTATTACACGCTACAAATAAAAAAAGAAACCAAAAAAGTGAATGTTGAATTTTGTTCTGTGATTAGAAAAAAGATCTCACCTGCGGTGGCGAATTTCCCGCTCAGGAATGGATTGTTCGTAATGTCGATTTTGGTACCAGCGTGGAAGGCGGCGATATCTCCCGACTTCGACCCGCTCGAGCAGGCAGTGCATCCGGAAGAAGACGACGCGTACGACGACGAAGCCGTCACTACTCCCGACTGGAATTCGCCGTTCAAGAACGGATTCTTCTTTACGTCGATCGGATCGAAGTGGGCTTCCGCCACTTTTACCCCCGGGACCACGCTTATCGGGGGCAGGCAGTCCCCTTTGCTCGAACACTTTTTGAAGTAGTCGTAGGCTTCTTTGAGGGGGCTGTTCGAAGCCATCCACCAGAAGTCATTCGGGTTGCCGGATTGGAAAGCATTCCTGGAGGTGGAGAGGGAGTTTATGTCCACTGGGTGCGCTGGAGGGTGGGCTTGTCCGGACAACACGTGACTAACATCAGCTAGTGCAGTGGAGATAAATAATATCCCCACTATAATAAGTGGAGACATATTTTTTAATCTGAAAAAAAGTTAAGTATGTTTAGCAATATCGTTTGTTTGCAATAATGTTGCCAATTTATTTCAGGAGATTTTACTAGAGTTATAACTTTTGTTAATAGATGTGCAGTGCCACCGCTAGATGTCAGCATATATACTTCACTGACATAGTTAAGTGCAGTATAATATGAGTTAATTTAATCCCAACATAATCAGACATTAGAAAAAGACATCGATATTTTTTTTGATGTAATATGTCGTATCGTATAACGTACATCGATTGTTTTTATAGACTTTTATATGATTACAGTTTTAAAATGCCTAAAAATGAAAGAAAATGTGCCTGAAAATGAAAGCAAGAAAAATGAAAGACGCATTTAAGTCCAAAACCTTTATTATCAACCGAAGAAAATGAAACAAAAAATCTTGAATTAATAAAAGAAACTTACGCATAGATTTGCGGAAGTTCCCATAGATTTCCGGAGTTATTTATAACTGTTTTACATTGACAATTTATTGATCAATTAATTCAAGAAGTCGCTTCATCAAGAAATTGGACAAGTGTAATGCATAATGCACCAAATCTGCTGTCAAATAACTTCATGAATTTATTCATCAAGTTCTTGACGAATTAGAGTATGTTCTAATTTTCGTCAATTTCTTCGTGAAGTTTAGAAGTACCAACCCAACAGATTTATAGCCTTAGATCAGTAATGAGGTTATGTTATTGGAATATGTAAATAATTGTGTGGCGCCGTACTAGTTTTGCATTGTTTTTACTGATTTGTTACTTACAAAAACCTAATATTTATATAATGTGTCAGAACGATACCGCTGTTGTATCACTACAATTATGAGTGGAAAGGTGACATTTTTGAAATTTATTTGCTTCTTTGATTCATTGGTAGAACTGATTCATACGTCAAAAAACTTGACAAAGTCTGTAGCAGTGTAAAACAACACTGTTTACCAATAAATTCGTAAATTAATTCATAAGAACTTCGTCAATTTATTCATGAATAAATTGTCAATGTAAAACAGCTATTGGAAATGAAATTACAAAACTATAGTTCGCCAAAATCCTAATATATTTTTTCTATGCTCTGCAAAAATAAAATTGTATTTAGTTTTTTCCCATTCAAATCGATTTAGTTGTTGATTATAAATATATTAATAGGTAGTCTATTTTTGTATCATTTTAAATAAAAGGTTTCAGTGTCATAATCAATTTTGTCAGACAGTGTTACCAACCCAGTCCTAAAGAAAAACTAGTTACAAAATTAAAAGAACTATCGAAAACTGGAATTTTTAAAAAATCTCTAATATTTAAATAAAAATAAAACAAAATAACAAAGTTAATTTTCTTCAATCGATATATCGAATAACACATCGATACATCGAATATATCAAAGCGTTAAAAATACATCGGTTGAATTCGATGCGTCGATACTACACATCAAGTGTTTTTAATACATCGATGTATATTATCCATCCCTAAACCAGATGTTATTAATTTATTAATTATTAATGAAATACAGTTTTCTGTAGAGGATATTTCAGAATAATGTAAAATAGATCTTTGGCATAAACCCAAAAACAGAAGGTTGTTCTACTTTCAATCACTTTTGGACAAAACGCTTCATACCCTCAAGAGTGTGAGTAAATACGTATTACTCTGAGTGTTTTACTTCTAGTAACAATACTTTTCGCAAATGAATATATTATGGTCTAAGAATTAACTTTTGCAGTAAATCTGGTTGATTTAAGAATGATTCTTTATAGATCACTGACCTAAAACACAGAAACAGTCATTGTCTTACTTTCAACTACTTTTGAGCAAAAGTTGAGTGAATAAATCCGAACTATCCTCAATGTTGGTGTGAAATTTAACTCATCTTTTCACGATGTTCTGTTATATCCTGAAATTTTAAAAATAGAGCTAAAAGGGAATGTGTTTTCTGTTATGGGATATTTTTAATATTCCGTNTATACAGGGTGTCTCATAATTAGCTGCCAACCCTGAACAGGCCGATTCTATGATCAAAACTAAGTAAAAAAGTTCATATGAACATGGGTCCGGAAATGCTTCCTAAGGGCACAGGGACCCATTGAAGAGGGAGGAATGGAAATCATTTTTTTGCAATATCTCTCAATCGCGTTGTGATAAATGAATAAAATTTAGCTGTGTATACCAAATTTCATTCATTTATCACAACGCGATTGAGAGATATTGCAAAAAAATGATTTCCATTCCTCCCTCTTCAATGGGTCCCTGTGCCCTTAGGAAGCATTTCCGGACCCATGTTCATATGAACTTTTTTACTTAGTTTTGATCATAGAATCGGCCTGTTCAGGGTTGGCAGCTAATTATGAGACACCCTGTATATTGAAAGCGAAAAGTTTTTTCACTTACATTTTATATACATGATTCGTAAATGTAAAATCATTAATCAAAAGTTAAACCAAGATTTTTACAAGTATTTTTAAATAATAATAGTCTGATAAAATTAAATTATTCTTAAGTAACAGAGTAGTTGGTTGGATTTTTAGACTAGTATAATATTTCTAAACCTAAATTAATTTTATAATTTTTTTTAATTCAGTTTTTGTCAAACAAAAAAGTTTTAGCAAAAAATAACCTAGGGGATTCTTATTTCAACCCCTTCAAGGCGCAGTAATTTTCGAAAAATTGTTGAGAAGTTGCTCGTGCATTAGTAGAAAATTTATGTGAAATTTAACTATTAGGTATACCTTTTTTGGTTTTCAAATTACTATTCCATATTTTTTGGAAACTTTGAGATTCTATACCTCCTATGGGATGAACATTTTATTAAGGTATTTTTTATGCAAAACGTATTTTTTTAGCTGTAGATTCACCGGTAGCATTTGTGCCACTTTGTGAAAACAGTCTGTATAATCTGGTTAAATTATAACCATATAACTGGCATAAGACCTTATTTATTTCATAGTAATGTATTTCATTGCTGATATATTCGAGGAAACAATCAATAATTGCCTTACTATTTTGCTCCATGTTTGGCAAAGTATGTAAAACGGAATACTTTACCCATTAGTGCTCATCATTTTATTTATAGATGCTAGTAATAACATAAATTTCAGAAGAAAACTAGATATTCTTCCTGATTAGAACTTGATTTAATCCAACAGCTGATCAGTTACTTAAAAGTAATTATAACGTTTTACTGGTGATCTCAATACGATTTGAGAAGCTATTTTCAGAACAAAGAATAATGTGAGGTAAATTATTGAAAAAAAAAACACAGTATGTCCAAGGCAAACCGAAGGCCTGGTAGGAAATTCAGTGGAAAAGAAGAAGGTGGAAGATGATTTCAGCTAAGTTTATTCATAACTGCTGTGCAAATTGCCCAAATGATTATATAATAAATATGAATACATTCGTAATTCAAAAGATTAAATCATGTGAAATTAATATTTAATACATGAACGTATTTCTAAAGTCAAGGGTGAATACATCTATAAAAAAAATTAATTCGGTTATCAAAACAGAATGTGTAAATTGTAGAGTCCTTGCCATACTCAACAACACGATTCACTCGAAAATTATCACATAATTTGTGGTTTATGAAAGATAAATCAACAATAACGAGTAGGTATTATATTAAATATTTCGTCACTAATAATATTAAAATGAAATTGTAGATTTACATTGGAAATTTTTATTTGTTAATGAATACATTCAGTTATGGTAATATTTAGCTATTTATACAGTTTCTTTTTTTGCCTGCGTGATATTTAAAGGATAATAGGCTGGGATAGATCTAATGTGATTTTTATTCACATTTAAATTAAAATATTGATGTTAATTAAAGATACTATTTTACTTCGTCTTAATGAAATTAAGAACTATACAGGATGTTGCAAGGGGAGCGGTAAGTATTGCAGTATGCGCCCATTTTGAGCGAAAATCTTCCTATGAAGATGCAACCAGATTTAAGAAAAACACACATACACTCGTATGTGTTTTTCCTTCCTTCATTTTTAATCGTACACATTTTGAAAACAATATTTCCTACTTTAGACTGTACAGGGTGGTCACGCATGTTACTCAAAAATAAGGTATAGGGAATTCGAAACATTGTTCAATTATTGTATGTAGAATTTTCAAGATATAGGCTAGCTTTTTTATAATAAAATACCCTGTATATCTTTAGGTCACTGGGAATACCGTCAAGAAACGTTTCTTATATGTTAACTATATTTAATAGTTTTCGAGTTATTATTTATCTCTAACAGTTTTCGAGATATTATGAATTTTCGAAATATTAAAAGATATTACGAGACATGAGATATTATAAAATATCGAAATATTACGAGATTTTGAGATATTACGAGATTTCGAAATATTACGAATTATTTTTGAGATATCTATTACGAATTTTCGAGATATTACGAGAGATTAAGAATTTTCGAGATATTAGGAGATTTCGAGATATTACGAGATTTCAAAATATTATTAGATTTCGAGATATTACCAGATATCGCGATATTACGAGGTTTCGAGATATTACGAATTTTTTAGATATTTATTACGAATTTTCGAGATATTACTAATTTTCGAGATATTACAATATATTACTAGATATTCAAACTTCGAGATATTACTAGTTTTCGAAATATTACGAGTTTTCGATATATATACGAACTGTTAATATGTAACAATAAAAATAGGCTGTTTGGTCCGTTCCATAACATTTATAAAAAACAATCAATTTCATTTTCCAGTTCGACATCCTCGTTTAAAACTATTCTTCGCTTTATAATTTTTTTTATTTAAAGACAAATTTACGGTAAGTAGTTTTAACTTTTTATTTGTATGGTTATAAATTAAACAAAAACATAATTATTTCTGTTTGAGTTTAATTGTAGGTACCTATTTTAAGCAAATTATTGCTAAATTGAGTTTCTGCAAGATAATTATTTAGTTGGCGGATTAACATTATTTTTTTAATATTTCTCCAAGGTTACAAAATAAAACTGTAT